TGTCCAGATCCCTGTGAGGGTAGCAGTGATCTTGGCCAGGAAACAGTACCTCTGAAATGGGTGCCTTCTATGCAGTACTCCTCATCCAAACTGAAGCATCCCTTCTGATCAGTCAGAGAGGGACAGGCTGAAACCCTGCTCAGTGAAGTTGACCACCTCCAGGAACCCAAATAAATCAATAAACACACAAGATCTCCATGACTGGAGAAACCTTAGGAGCAGGCACAGTCCCGGGTGGGACCCTTGGAAGGAGTAGCAGGGAAATCCCAGAGCTTGTAGCCAGAAAGTTACAATTCTGCCTTTTCTTCTCACTTGCCGTGAGGCCTTGAGGAATTTATATTTCCTGAACTTAATTTTCTGCATTGGTATTCTTACTCTGCCAGTTGCCGTGAAGCTCAGAAATATTATAAATATGGTACCAGATATGTGTTATAGATGCTTACAAATAATCTTATGCTCGAAGTCTCTTCATTGTCCAGCGGTGGCTGATGTGTATGACAATAAACCCAACAGATTCTGTGAAAGACTGCTCAGTTATGCTCTGGTTAGTCTGAAATGCATTTCATTGCAGTTTAATTCTTTGCAAACTGATCATAAACACATGATGCGTATGGTAATGCGGAATGAGAATAGGCGGCTCTCAATGAATTGCATTTCTTGGGCATTATGCACAAGCTGAAGAAAGACGACTTAAGAGAACACGGATTGCCTCTTAGCTTTAGAGAGCCTCCTTAGAACGTGGAATGGCTGTGCAGACGCTAAGAGCGTGGTGAGCACTATAAATTCCTAATGCCTTGCTCTCTGTGGATGACAGAAAATTTAGTCTATTTAGCAAGATGTCTTTATGTGTGAAGATTTCTTGCTTTACCATCAATGCTTATTTACTTATTCATTCATAGGTGTAGAAAGCACCTTTCCTTCATTCTGCTCCCGTATTGTTTCTCAAGCAGCAGACACTTATTACAAATGTGCTAAGCAATAGCAAATAAACACCGGCTCTCAATTAAGCATTAATAAATATGTTGCAGTTGCATAAAAATTACATTCAGTTGCTCCCAGATGTAATGAATTGGAACAATGTCCAATGTTTCTATTGCTGAGGTCCTATGAATAAAGCATGTTATAACTGTAAATTTAAAATATACTGTATTAGAACATGCTCCTCGATGCTTCATTCATTTTACTGCTTGCTAATATGGTCCTTGGTTAATTTTGAATTTATTCATTTTTTTTTCTTACTGTTTAAAATATGTTTGCAAAATGCAATAAAAATAGATTATTGGTCAATCACAGCTATTCAGTCACTGCTGTTTGCAGCACATTTACCACAATGCTGGTCTTAAACCTTGCACAACAAACTGAAAACACATTCATTATATCCATGGAAAAGCTCCAGAGATTTTGAATAAAGGAAAATGAGTGATGTTTCTTCTACCACTGAGCCCAACAGAGAAAAGAATGAGATGAAGTTTTCACAAAGGACCAACAGGAGTCTCTCTCTCACACACAAACAGCCTTTGTGTTTCTGGAGTTATCTATTTTTACTTTAAAAATATTTTGAAGTAGTTTTGCACTTGTGGGAAAGTCACATTTAACTCACACAGCAGTGTTTTCCTCACTCTGGTTCCCTGACTGAACACACATGCATGATTAGGAGAGTGAGCCATCATGCCCCTTTCTCTCTCAGTGTCCTGTTGGATATAGCCCCAAATATGGTTCTTCAGCAGGTCACCTGCTGCTCTATTGGGCAGGTGGTCAGCACAGATGTTCCTTTCCCATCTGCAGGTCTCCTTCCCCTTTTATCCATGACTCCAAGAATGCCCCATCCTCCTTTCTAACTGAGAAACACACATGGTACGCAGTTGTTTCTTCATTCTCCTTTCACTTGGAGCAATTCTCTTTAGGACTTCAACTTTCTCTGTATTCCATGTTCTTACGTATTTTTTAAGTGCAGACCTCACTTTCCATGAGGCCACCTTCAGCCTGAGCTCATCTGGTCAGATTCAGGTCCTGTAGCCTTGTCAGGAACCTTCTGGGGACGATTCTGGACCTCACTTCAGATGTCAGCAGTAAGTGGTCATCTGGTCCCTGCAGGTGTTCACTTTCATCACCTGGGCATTCTGGACTTTATTTTCTCAACCACAAGGTCACTGTTTTCATTTGGGAAGCTGTTTAAGGTGTTCTTTATACTCTTTATATTGTATGATTATAAGTATTTTATGTGATACACATAATTCTGGCGCTCTGTGCTATCTGTATTCTCATTGACTTTCGAAATATGCTTACTCCTTGGTGTTGCCTATTCTTCCAACGATGTCCCATCCTCAGGTACTGTGGGCACATCACCAAGCATATCATCAGATGCCTCTGAGTGATAGCCACTAGCATCCTCAGTGCTGGTGGTAGAACACCTGTGTGCGCTCTTACTGACAGAACAACTCATTTTCAAGTCCTCTGCACAGAAGAGAAAGTCCCTTTGCCATTTTACTCTGTCCCAGTCACTAAGTTCCTTAAGAATTGGAAAAAAAAAAGTCTTGTTCTTTGTAGCCCATGGCGCAGCAAGCTGACTGATAGTGCTGAACATCATGGGCTGTTCATGTCCTCTGGATGCCTCTGAGTCCTCCTGGACTCTCAGAGCGTACCAACGTAATTGCAGCAGTGTCAGATTCTAGCAAATGTTTCTGCATCTCTTTGCTCATCCTTTAGTAGTTTGTAAACAGTGCTAGGAAGGCCACTCTGTAACTGATGTGTGGAGTCCAGGGAAGGGAGGGAAAGGGTGAGTCAGGGAGCAGCTCATGCCTCAGAAGGGCCGGCAACTTAGCCTAGGCCGGGGGCAGTGGAAATGGAGAAGTGAGAGTAACACACAACACCAGGCAAAAAGACCTACTTGTGGAGAAGCAGATGCAGCAAATAAAAACACTGGAAATGGTAAATTGACTGCCCAAAGGATTTTTTTTTCATTCATCAGAGGGAGGATGCAGTTATATTCTCTCTCTTGATGTACAGTTTCAGAGGAAATACTGATTTTTTTTTAACCATTAGTTTCCATGCTATGACACCTTTGTAGGAAGCTGTCTTACTTGACTGTCCCAGCTGTATGGATTTGTTGCCAGCTATTCCTACTCCCTGCCTGCTCTTTCTTCATCCAGCTGTGTGCTGTGGAAGTGAGCCAGCACAGAGGAGTCCAGTCATCTGGTGCCCTGTGATTAGCGTCAGCGCCACCAGCACATGTTGAAAGGTTTTGTTCAAATTGACAAACTTGCTGAAACAGTGGTTTAATTTATTTTTGTTAATTATTCATAGTTATTCATTTATTTAGAGGGACACACACACCGTGAGAGAGGGAGAGGGAGAGAGAGAGAGAGAGAGAGAGAGAGAAACTTACTGATTCATTCACAGATTCAGTCCCCAAATGGCTACAATGGCAGGGCAGGGCCAGGTCAAAGCTAAGGAACCTGGAAGTCTGTTTGGATCTCCCACATGGATTGCAGGAGCCCAAGAGCTTCGGGGCATCTTCTATTCCCTTTCCAGGGAACTGGATTGAAAACAGAGCAGCCGGGACTCAAAAGGGTGCTCTGGTATAAGATTCCTATCTTGCAAAAGTCATGACTTAACTTGCTGCTCTACAACACCAACCCTCATGTTTCAGTTCAGAATTAAGTTTTATGAAAATGTCTTCTTTGACAAATGGCCATCTAGAGCCATAGGAACCTAAAGACATTCTAGTCCCTAGGATAGAGCCTCTGAAATGTTTTATTTCATGAGAACAAATAGAAGAATGCTAAGTGTATTGGACACTGCAACAAGTGAAAGGTGCTCATGGCAGAGGTCATTACTGGGATCCCAGACTTGCCATGGTCTCAGTGTCCTAGTCAGGCAAGAGCCATGAGAAAGAAGCTCTGCTGGATGGTGTTGTTAAACTGGATCTTTACAACTGTGCAAAAATGGCTCCATGGAACAACTTTTTAGTTCATGTATTTTACTAACTTTTTATGATTAATTGGTGGAGATTCCAATTTCAACAATTATTTAAAAAAATCACAGTGACTTCTTACTTAAACCCACCCTAGAAAATCTGAAGTCATTAAAAAGATGATAAAATCCCCACTTTATAGCAAAAGTGATGATGTGGTTAGCGGTAGCATCATGGAATTTGAACATTGTTTCTGTGACCTCAGTGTTACTGGCTCTCTGTTGATAGTTTCATTTTCACAAGAACTTTTTATTTTTTGAGAGATTTTATCAAGTATATGAAAGACAGAGACCCCCGCAACCCCCCCCCACACATAAACACACAGAAAGAGAAATAGAGAAGGCTGTAAAAATCAACATTGGACACTGTTTTCAACTGATTATATAGATAGAGCCCCTCAGATTAGCATATTATTCCCAAGTGATTGCCATAGTTTTCAAAATAACTTGTATTCAGAGAGTAGAAGGGTGATACCCAAGAGCTGGAGTGGGATGGAGAGAGGTTGTATACAGTTATATTCAGATAGGAGGGAAAAGTGTTAGTGCTGTTTTGCATAATGGGTTTCTGTGGTTAATAATATTGTATTGAATATTATAAAATATCTGGAAGAATTTTAATATTCTCATTTCAAAGACATGATAACTATATGAGGTGATAGATTTGATTATTAGTTGATGCCTGGAAACATCCTATTTTGCCTCATAAATATGTAAATTATTATATTAAGAAGTACCTCTTTCAGGATTATAATTATGAGCATCATATAAATACGTGGACTGTTACATCTGAGAGCGGGGAGACTGAAAGGAAGGAGGGCCACGGCAGTGGTAAAACAAACAAAAAAAAGAGGCAGAAGATCCCAAGGAGCAGCACTGAGGGATGAAAGCGCTGGCCTGGAAGCCAGCAGGCTCTGCATGAGTCGTTAAGGTCGAGGAGGACCAGAGCTGGGGCTAGGACACAACGGGTTCTCTGTTCTTAGTTGTGTGGTTTTCCCATTCTCCTCACTTTCATCCTTTTGGGTTTCCAGCTGAGATACTGAAAAGAAGACTGGAAGATCTGGAGCAGGAGAACAGCTGCCTGCACTTTCAGCTCCCTTCCAGGCAACTGGCTCTGAGCAGCTTTCTGAAGCACCTGGCAACGCAGACCCAGGTTGCCTGGCGCCAGGCCATCCAACAGTGAGTACCTGTGATGGACACTAACCCTGCCTCCTGTCTTCCTCTCTCAGCTCCCACGTTGTTAAGAACTTTTTTTCCTCTAGGAAAGGTCTCTTTGTTGTTAGGACAAGTGTGAGGCATCGTTTCCTGCGGTGGGAGAGCCCCTTTTGCCAGTTCACAGGGGATCCTTAACTAAGCAAGTGCTAAGGTTTCCCTGGGAACCCAACATTCCCAGAAAGGTTGGAGGGATTTTGACTTGTCCAAGAGAGCTGAGTCTTTTGTGAATGTGTTGCACCTGTTAGACACACATACAGTCTTCTCTGAGGAAGAGATGAAACTTGATTCTCCTCCTGACTCAACTTCCAGCTTCGTTACCTTAGTTCATTGTATACTAAGCTTTTCTGTCATTCTTTTATCTTTAGAAATCCATTGCCTCTACTCGTCACCTTTACTAAATTTACTGCCCTTTGAAATCATTTCATAAGTTTGCTTTCTCCTTAATCAGCTCCTTCTGTTATATCCCTAGTCTCAATGATTCATATCTGTCTAGCTAACTATTCAAGCAAAAACTGGAGACATCTTGGCTTCTCCCTCGTTCTGATTCCTGACAACCATTGGTCACCAAGTTCTTTTGTCTTGTTATCTACCTCTCTCTCATTCTCCCCTCCAGGTTAATGCCTTAGTTCTGGTCTTTAAATTTTTGAGTGTGGATTTGTTTTTAAGGATTTATTTATTTATTTATTTTTCTTGGAAAAGCAGATTTACAAAGGAGAGACAGACCCTAACCCTAACCCTAAACCTAACCCATCTGCAGTTAACTCCCCAAGTGGCCACAATGGCCAGAGTTGCACCAATTCAGAGGCAGGAGCCAGGAGCTTTTTCCACGTCTCCCATTTGGGTCAGGGTCCCAAGGCCTTGGGCCATCTTCTACTACTTTCCCAGGCCGCAAGCAGGGAATTGGTTTGGAGGAGCAGGCAGAACACAAACCGGTGCCCATATGGGATCCCAGTGCATGCAAAGTGAGGATTTTGGCTGCTGGGCCATTGTGCCAGGGCCTTGAGTATGGATTGGTGCAAGCATCTCTTTTTTGGAGCCATTCTTACTTTCTCCCGTGCATCTTCCACAATGCCACAGATGGAAATACTGTGTCATGCTTAATACCTCCCCATTGCTTTCAGAATACATTTCATGCTGCTTAGTATGTCATTTGAATCCTTCATAATCCATCCACTGTGTTGTTTCCCAGAATTTAACTATGGTATCACAGGCACATGCAGTCCACACAGAGAAGTATCTAAAGTGACCTCCAAGTTCTGAATGTTTCTAAATTCTGTGATCTTGCATTAATTGTTTTTTGTCCTCACCAATAGTTGCTCATTCTCTGGACTCAACTCAGCTTCCATCCTCGTCACACTGTGGCCATCAGCTATGCTCTTTCCCCCTTAAAATTGACTTGAGTCCCTTACACAACCTTACCTTTACTCTGGATTTTAAGTCTGTTTCCTTCAGTGTTTGCTCTGAGAGATGACACATTCCTAGAGAGCATGCCTCTACTGTATTTATTTATTTTTTATTCCTACAAACTTGAACAGTGGCTGGTCTACAATTGGTGTGTCAACTGAATGAGTGAACTGTGACACCCTTGTTTACATTCCTCTATAGAGATTGAAACATAAGTGCCTACTGAGGAAGAGAGATTGATAAAGGTGCTTCCAAATGTCCATGGAAAGTGAAGTCGAAAGATTATTTTGGGGCAGAAAAGTTTTGAAATCCATGCAGTATTTTTTCATAATACACGTGTTCTGTGAACTAGACTCCTTACGTGTGTATAGGAGCAAGTTGGTCCACAGAATTATAGAGGTTGAAAAGTTCAAACATGACCACCTGCTACCTGGAGAGCCAGAGAAGATGGTAGAAGTGATGACTCACTCCAAGAAGACAGAAGTGTCAGAGAGAGGGAGGCTGGTCCTATGGCCCCTGGATTGAGGCCAAAGGCTCAAGAGCCTTGGAGGGCCACTCATGCAAGTCCACATCCACAAGCTGAAGTCGGTAAGGTTGGGAGCAGGAAAAACCACACTCCCCTTAGGGAGGAAGGACTCGAGGGGTTCGCCCTGCTTGCACTTTGCTGTTCCTCCTGGACCTTCAGTGTATTTGTTGGCGTCTCTTGCTCCTTAATCTGATGCACATGCTGATCCTCACAGAGAAACACAGAATTCTGCTTCCCCAATCCTCTAGGTTTACCTCTGTCCAGTTTGGCTGACGCCCACCAGAATGTCAAGTCAATCATCAGAGGAAGAGAGATGGGAGGAGGAGGCAGGGATAGAGGAGGAGGCAGGGATAGAGAGGAAGAAAGAGGAGGAGAGAGATGTTACTTGAGTGTGTTTTTGATAGTTGCCCTCCAGTAAAAGTCCCCTTCGGCCAGTCCTCTGAAACTTTCAGTAAGGGAGCATTGAACAACCTCGTAAATCAATCCTGACTGCATAGCATGTCAGGAAACCTGAGTTCTGAGCCCCGCCTCCTCTACTCAGCAGGTGTGGTTCCCTAACCTTTCCGTACTTCACTCTCCTGTTCTAAAAATGAAAACCTTGAATTAGGTCATTGTTTTATAGACTTCAATTACTTATATGTTTTCTTGGTATTTTTCTTTTGCCAAATCTATTGTCCTAGCCTGCACATGCACTAGGCAATCATGAAAATTATAGATTTAGTGTAATCCATTTATTTTTTATATTTGAAATAAATATTAATATCAGTACACAGCTAGTTTTTTTTTATTTTTAGAAACATTGACTTTTAGTGTGCCAACTACCCATGTGTCTGTTACATTTGTGAACTTTGTTGTGGGCATTTTTGGGGCTTCCCTTAAGAGCAGCAGTGGCTGCAGTTCCCACAGAAGCCACGAGAGGGACATAGTGCCAAGCAGGAGCTCACAGAACCCAGTAGTGGCTCGCTAACAGCACTCAACAGGGACTCTGAGTCAAAGAAAATGAGAATATTTTCAAAAGAATGACATTTGCCTTGTAGAAATGAGATAGTTGTTTTGAAAATTTTCAGCAATTAAGAATAGCACGAATAATGAACTCTTTTCTGGAAGCAAGAGTTTCTTTTTGTATCTGATGGGAACAATAAGCTTCTTGCCTCACAAACCATGATGAATGCATGGGTATGCAAACTACTGGGGCAGTTTCAGGCGACTCACAGCTCTACTGAAGTTCCTCCATTCTCTCCTTTGACGTCCTTATGTCCTGGGTGAAAAGATAATTTAGTTTTATCTAAGTTTTAGGGAAATATAAACACAGATAATACAATCAGAACTTTATTTTTATTACTTATACTGCAGCTTTGCTTGTAAGAATCACTGTTGCATTCAACTTTTTAAAAAAAGATTTATTTTTATTGTTTTTATTGGAAAGTCAGATATACGGAAAGGAGGAGAGGCAGAGAGGAAGATCTTCCATCCGTTGATTCACTTTCCAAGCAGTTACAACGGCCGAAGCCAGGAGCCAGGAGCTTCTTCCCAGTCTCCCACGAGGGTGCAGGGTCCCAAGGCTTTGGGCCGTCCTCTACTGCTTTCCCAGGCCACAGGCAGGGAGCTGGATGGGAAGTGGAGCTGCCGGGATTAGAACCGGTGCCCATCTGCGATCCTGGTGCGTGCAAGGCAAGGTCTTTAGCCACAAAGCTATCGCACCGGGCCCTAGATTCAGCTTTTTAATGAAGCCTGTTGAATTCTTTAAACATGTGTAGAACAGTGCCCTGAATCACTCCTGATTTGTTTAGATGTTGTAATCAGCCTGAAGAATTTTAGCTATTTTGGGAGTTCAGCAGATTTCTTTAGTGGTAGATATCACAACTTCAGTTGCCTCTCTCTCTCTCTCTCTCTCTCTTTCTCTCTCTCTCATGGTGGTTCTACACTGCTCAGTAATGTTACTGGTTCAGGGAGTGTCTCAACTCCATAGGGTTATTGTGTTTCTTTTTTTTTTTTTTTAAGATTTATTTTTATTATTTTTTTATTGGAAAGGCAGATATACAGAGAAGAGATACAGAGAGGAAGATCTTCCGTCCAATGATTCACTCCCCAAGTGAGCGCAACGGCTGATGCTGTGCCGATCCGAAGCCAGGAGCCTCTTCTGGGTCTCCCATGTGGGTGCAGGTTCCCAAAGCTTTGGGCCGTCCTGGACTGCTTTCCCTGGCCACAGGCAGGGAGCTGGAAGGGAAGCGGGGCTACCGGGATAGAACCGGCACCCATATGGGATCCCAGGCGTGCAAGGCGAGGACCTTAACCACTGCGCCACCGCGCCGGGCCCGATAGGGTTATAAAATAGTTTTATTATTCTCATCTGTCTTGCATCCACTTTTCACATTGATTTATGATATCTTAGCTGGATGACAAAGATGCTATTTTCAGTAAGTGCTAATCAACCTGTTCAGTAGAGTTTGAGGCTCCAGTTACTGTTGCCGTCCCTGCCTCCCTAGCCCCATGCCCTCTGTACATTTTCTTATGGAATTCAATCCCTGGTCCCCGTGGGACCCTCAGGGCTTCCCCAGTGCCAAGATTCTGATGTGAATACAAATCCACCCCCCACCTCAGCCATCATTGCTTTCAGCACATCTCTCCATTTCTTCTGTGGTAATCCCTTGCCCAAATAGATGCTTTTAAAAGGGACTAACATTATCATGTTCATATATCTTTGCCATTAAACAAAGGCATATAGTGGCGCAGTGGTTAAGGTCCTCGCCTTGCACGCCTGGGATCCCATATGGGCGCTGGTTCTAATCCCGGCAGCCCCGCTTCCCTTCCAGCTCCCTGCCTGTGGCCTGGGAAAGCAGTCGAGGACGGCCCAAGGCTTTGGGAACCTGCACCCGCGTGGGAGACCCAGAAGAGTCTCCTGGCTTCGGATCGGCATAGTATCGGCCCGTTGCGCTCACTTGGGGAGTGAATCATCGGATGGAAGATCTTCCTGTCTGTCTCTCCTCTTTGTATATCCGCCTTTCAATAAAAAAATTAAAAAATAAAAGGCATA